GGAGGTGCAGCATTTCACCCGTTATCTGACCTCTGGTCTCGGCAGCGACGTGAGCCATCTGCCTTTGAGATATCTGCCACCTGGCAATGTTCACGAGCTCTGGCTGCAATTCTGCTCGGAGCACGGTGAGACCACCGCGAGCTACGCCACATTCCACAAGGCATATAAAGACGTGTCGCATGTCCTGAAGTTCCGCGCGAAAGGCGAATTCTCGGAGTGCGATGAGTGCGAGATTCTCAAGAAGGCCATCAAGGAAGTTTCTCGGCAGCAGCTGGCAGGACTTTGTTTCATCTTTCTGTTACACGCAGCCCGAAACCATAAACCCGACACTTTTCGGACTCGAGGCCCCAAAGCATGACATGCAGAAAGTCCTCGCGGCTACGACGGACCTGAAGAAGCACTACTCCGATGTTCAGAGGTGCCGCGACCTCGAGGAGACCTTGCGGACAATTCCGCCGGGCTCATCGAAGCCCGTCCTGCTGATAATCACGGATGGGATGGATCAGGCCCATTGGAGAGTTCCAAGGCTTCCGAACTTTCGTGCCGGCAAGGCTTTCTCTTCGCCTGGGCTCTCGCGGCCGAAATGCATAGTCCAGGGCCTATGGATCTTTTTCTTTGGAGTCCACTTCCTCATCGGAGACAAAGTTCAACCCCACGATTCTTCCTTCATCATCGAGGCGGTTGCCAGGGGATTGGAAAAAATCCGGCAGACGGCGAGAGACCGTGGTATACAAGTCCCCGATGAATGCTTGATATTCTGCGACAATTGTAGTAGAGAAAATAAAAATAATTTTTTACTTCTCTACGTGGCGACATTAGTCGCCCGGGGCGGCTTCAAGATGACAGGACTACTTTTTCACTTGAAAGGGCATACACATAACGTATTAGACCAACTCTTCGGCTTGGTGGCCCGTGCTTTTCAGCACATCGACACCTTGGAAGACATTTACAGTGTTGCCACAGCCATCCGCACGATTCTTGAGCGGCCCTCGCTGAAAAACTTCCTCGGCGATGTGCCAGTGTCTGTCGATATTCTCGAAGGCTGCAGGAACTGGGCTGCTTACTTTGATGAAATGGATGTTCGCCTTGAAGGCGGATTGCTAGGCAGCTCCAACCACTGCTTCCTGTTCCTTTACCGGAAAGACTTGCCACACGATGTTCAGCAGAGAGTGCTGCCGCTGCGAAACAAGCGAAATCAACTGGTGCCGGGATATCTTCCACACCCCCTTGATGTGGTTCTATTGCAAAAGCAGTTTCTTTGGGAGAGTTCCATGTCCGCAGAACCAAAAGTCACGATTCCATTTGGATTGGCTCGTGCTTTTCGGACACAGCACGGCTGTGTGCCTTTGCTTCTGCGTCCTACAAATGAACCCATGACGGAGTCCTGGCTCAACCTGGCCTTAGCCTTGCTGAAGTATTACCCTGCAGACCAAATGCAAAGGACGGTTGTTTACCTGCAGCATTTGGCTGGTGGCCGACGGGGCATCGATACGAAGTTTCCGCGACTGGGCTGGTGGGAATCCCTGCAGGGTAGACCGGACGTGGAAAACGCCCTTGGAGTTTCAATAGAGCCGCGGCACCTGCGGACCCTCATTCCGGTCATCGAGACGCGGGTGGTTGGGGCGCCGGCCCGCCGAGCTCCCCGAGCGCGGTGATTTGCTTGAAAAAGCAAACGTGTAGCGTGCACAAGGTTCAAGCGAGTGTGTGCGAGATAAGTTCGGCAAGTCATTGTTGTTCTGCGGTTTCCTTCCGTGAGAGAGTACACTGAAAGTCATAGTTTATCATCTCCCGTCGGAATCGATGAACACTCTAGGTCGCCTGGAGCAAGTGTCNNNCTGGAAATGTGTGGGCTGTCATGTTGGGAAGCAACAGAGGTCATCGCATGCAATTCCTGAGGAGACACCTTGTGACAGCGTCAAGGGAGTTTTGGAGTCCTGAATTCCTATGCCCTGGCAAGTTGTCGTCTGCCAGTTGTGATCTAT